GAGCTGCTGGTTTGTACCATCATTCTGGTGCCAAATTTTGCATTATGACCTCTGAAACACATTTGTGTAATTGACATATGAAGAAGACTAAATTAGTCACTTTTGCTGAAGGTTTGTTTCTTTGTGTTGGTGTAGATTAGTTTTTTGTGTTGTTTTTTTCTTGTTAATTAATATTTCAGAGCAACAGCCTATGCATTATCCCAGCAGGGTTATGTGTCTGGTCAATGGTGGAGCCTGAATGTGTATTTGTGCATTGCCTTGGTTGTGCAAGGTGCCCAATGGCCATGCCATCACCTGCAAGTGCTGCCACACCGTGCCCATGGGCTGGCACCAGGCTCCAGCTGTACTGAGGCCCTGCCCATGGCTCTGGCTGCTGGGCCCCCACTGAGGGAGAAGGCTGACATTTCCAGCAGCCCTGAGCCTGGGCCACCTGTTTGGACACCACACCTCCCCTCGCCAGAGCACCTTTGTTTTATAGTGCTCCCAAAGTTACTCGCCCAGCCAAGTCCCATTTTTGCCCCTGTATCACCTGGAGGGGAAAAAATTGCCCATGGCTCAGAGAGGATGGATGTGCATATACCTGAGTCTGAGACAGCCTCTTGTCCAAAACCCAACCCATTTGCCTGCTCAGTGGTATTTATCCCTACAAGCTGAGCTAACTGTGCTATGGGCAGGTGGGAGCAGATCCGGCACTGGGCATCAGCATGGGAGCCTCTGGCTTTGGCACTCAGCTGCTCACATAGGCAAAAACCCCAGGGAGAGTGAATTCTTGGGCCTGAGGGGGAGGGAGTGTTGGCCCTCAGGAGGGACGGTGGACAAGCAGTGCAGCAGTAGCTTAAATCATCTCCCCCCGGACATGTTTTCCGGGGATGACTGGCCTCAGATCTGTGTCCAGTGCAATATATAAATGTTATTTATATTTACACTTATACTTTTGCATTACTTATGAGGTGCTTCACAGTTCTTTTGTGGCAAAACAGATCTCTGTTTGGGGCACTTGCCCTTCAATTGCTTACAATAAGCTACTAATATTTAGTACTTCATCTGCAGCTGATCCCCCACTTCAATCCAGCTCTCCATGTTCTGCTGCTTCTGCAGGTTTGGTCCTTCCAGCTCTGCTTTCTCTCAGATCTTTACTAAAAACCTTCTTCTGCACCATGAAGCAGCTGCCCCGCCAGACATCTCAGCCTGGCCAGAGTCATCCTCAGCATCCTTCAGCATTTTACTATTAAATCCAGAGCAAGCCAGCCAGCCAGCCAGAGTCATTTGGTTCCTGTAAGCAGTGATACCTACATCAAGCTGTGCAAACTGAGGCTTCCCCTGGAGCCAGTGCCTGCACTGGGAGCTCAGCCCTGCCCTGGAGGGCGCTGCAGGGAATACCATGCCTGGGGATGAACAAGGGAGGTGGAGAGTCTTGGAGAGATGCCTGCCCAGCAGAGAAGCTGGAGCTATCTGCTGAGTTGGGGTGCAACAGGACAGGCAGCCAGAAATCAGCTCCAGGTCTGAGTGGGCTCCCCTAGAAAAACATTTGCAACCTCCCTCTCTGCTAAAAGGTCCATTTTTGCATGAGAAACTGATGTCTGAGGACACAGGGGGGGTGAGAGGACAGGGTAAATGGCATCACCCCACTGCTGTTTCCATTTGGAAATAATATTACAAACTCATTGCAGGCAGCTCCACTGCTGCCTTGCTGGCACAGGAGAAAGGAGCAATTGCTAGAGCAGGTGGGAAGCCAGCACCCCATAAACAGAGACAGGGCTTAGCAGTGGGACACAGAGTGACCTAATCAAGAATTAAGTCAGAAACTTTCACTGGCGAAAGCCATCTCCATCTCCAACAACTCCACATTCCCTAACCTACGGGGGACAGCCCCAGGTACAAAATCACTGATGTTACCTATGGCCACTACAGGTCAACCCCAGCCCTGCAGCTGGCACAGCTCCATAAGGCTGCTGGAGAAGAGCTTTCCTGTCTGAGAGCTGCTGAGGGCTGGGAGCTGGGTCATTTGAGGAATTAGATTTTGAGTGATTGTTTGGAGGACTTTGTTCACAGCTCCCCCACCCCAGCAATTTGGAAGTGAGGCCCAGGGCCCTCACCAGGCTGGTGGAGAGACCTTGACAAATCCCTAGTGTGTGGCAGGGGCTGCATGGTAGCACCCCCTGAAAGCCCGAGGAACCTGCTGGTGTTACAAACGTCTGCCCCTGTGCCCACACGTCTGCTGATTTCCATACTAAAGACATTTACTGTATATGTTTGCCACCAGGGAAAACTGCTGTCTGCGACTCAGCTCTATTACTGGAAGAGCAGCGGCGGTATTTGCGCTACTCTGAATATTACATTTCCAGGACCTGCTCTATGGCTTTCGAAATCCTCCTTCCAACTTCCCACATCCCCCTTGGCCAATTAGGGAAAATGCCTGGTGGGGGTGATGGCCTCCTCCTCCGTGGGGCAACGCCGCGCCGAGGGACTGGCGCCGAGCGGCGCAAACCATCCCTTCTTGGCGTTGGGAAGCGCGGTTCGCAAGCCAACGACAGAGGGATGAAATGCAAATATAGCATTTCTTGTAAAGTAAATTAAGCTAACAACGAGGCAACAAACCGCTGTTAATATTAGATTAACTTGTTTGGCAAGATACGAAATGGGGTGAGCTGGATTGCCGGTGGCGGAGTGCTCAATAGCGCTAATGCTGCTCAGGGAAGTATAACATCCCTCTGACAGACAGGGGCACGCTCCAAAAATAAAATAAATTAAGTCTAGAGGAAGAGCCAGAATCTGTGCAGCAATTACACCAGCATTAAAGATGAATGGAGAAGAAGCTTAAGATTTTGATTGCCTTCAAATACTGGCTTGTTTTTAATCTCAAAATCAGACTGCGCTATGATCAGCCATTAGCCCCGACTACAAAAAAAAAAAAAGAGAAAGAAGATCCTACATTTTTACATTTGTAGCATGAACTTAAAATACCTCTTTGATCTAAGATAAGGAGGCAAATGGCACATAATGCAGAAGTTAAAGCCAGTTGAGTGCAGTTGGCAGCTGGCAGTGGCTGGGCTGACATTGGAAATGATGGAGGTTTGGACAGAGGGGTCACCGGGAGCCATGTCCTCAGTGTGGGGACTGAGGCACAGGCTTAAATGTCATACTGTATGCCAGTGGTCACTAAACTGATTAAGCAGTGGTTATCTTTAGCAGTAAAAGGGCTATCTGCTAATACTAAATGATTAGCGGCTAAAATGCCATTTACTCTGCTCTGATTCCTTGAATGAATATTTATGCCAAGTGATGACTGTAACACCATCAAAAGGTTTCCGTGCTCTGCTCCGTAGAGTGGAAGCGATTATTCAACAGCAGGTCTGCACTCCAGCACTTGTTTCTATTAAGCAAATTTGCAGCGTTCAGACAAAAATTCATGATTGCATTGTCCTCCTGGGATTTTTATTTTTAAAGATATCCCACCTCCAACACTCTCCGGGGGACTGGCCATGGCAGGGAGGCTTGTCTGCTGGTAGACACAGAAAAGAGAGATATAGATGCTGCACAATTTCTCCCTTGTGTAATTATTTTTTTTTTTTTTTTTTAATATAAGACAACTGGACATTTGCCGCACCCCACTCAGCAGCTAGAAGCTGTGTCCTGCCCCAGGCTTTCCTCCCACCCACCCCGCTGCCAGCTGAGGCTTTTGCATGAAACAGCATCGTGAAATTCCTTGTTAGACATCAGCAACCGAATCTACAGCCATGGAGACAAATCAAGAGGGCTGCCCATCAGAAATGACGTCCCTGCACCTCAGGGTACTGCCTGCATTTCACAGCAGGGGCAAGCGCAGGGAGGCAGCGAGAGCCACTGCACGAAAGTCGGGGCCCGCGGTGTAAATGACACCTTCAAATGGGCCCAGTTCAGATACTCCTGCCCTGCAGAGCCAGTGTGGGGACACACATACACAGTAAGACACAGCTCACACCAACCAAATGCCATTTGTGTTCATCCAACAGTAGAGTGGGATTTCCTGCACAAATGACCCTCTACTCCAGCATCCTCCTCCCTCTGGGGTGACATTTCTGCAGCTTTCCCAGTGATGTACAAGAGATCAGGCAGCTGCAGAGCCATTAGCTGGCATTAGCGAGGCAGTTCTGAGAAGTTACACTTTCCTCCTCCCTTCAATTCTGAAGTAAGTAGACCAGCTAAGCCAAGAAAAAAATGCTTTCTAGAAGGTACCATTCTCCGAAGGACTCAGTTTTTAAACTGGTACTAAAACCCTCCTTAAGAATCTGAACTAAAAATTATTAGCTCCCTCCAGCGTGTTTGGTGAGTGGTTTTGGTTTGGTTTTACTGCTTCCTTCCTCACCACAGAGCAGCACCCTCGCGCTGCCATTGTGTGATGAATTACAGCAAATCCCAGAGGCAGGTGAGGAGCCATCACTCTGGAGCACAGGCAGAGGCAGTGACTGTCTGGCAGCCCATTTCAAAGCAAGAAATCAAAACATTTGAGTAACAAGCTACTCCTTCCTTAGCCCCAGCATGGCCACCTCCGACAGCCTCTACAAAAAGAGCATCAACTCCACAGTTTCTCAAAAGACAATCTTCCCCAACCCCAGAAAGCATGAAAATGGAAAAGCAGTTAAAACACCACATATCCGTAGGCAGCTATAGGTGGCTTTTAAATTGCTATTCCATATTTATGGGAATAAAGAGGGATGGGGCCAAACATTTTATAATGGGTCTCCCAAACCAAAACATCTGTTTATGAAGAAAAATCACTCAGTCATTTCACATGTCTCAGGTACTTTAGATGACAGGCAATATTTTGAAGCTCACTAAGTGTCTAAGCTCACTAAGTGTCTACTGGAGTTTTGCTTCTATTTAGCCATTATTTAGCGCAGGTGTACATAAAAGCATTTCATGCAACAGTCAGAACAGCACCAAGCTGCACTGTATTTGGCATTTGCAATTCAGAGAACACACACAAGCGACCCAGGACCAGCAACCAATTAAGTCACATCAGAAAAAAAGTACTTGGTGTCTATTTATTAAAGGAAAGGGGGGTAAATTTAAGAAAAAGCCAGAAGACAAAATAAATAGAATTGCAGCCATCCTTTACAGCTACTGGTGCACTATATTAAAGTGACACACACCATACAAAGAAATGTGTTTGATACAGTCCAGTGGGTTGCACATGAATTGCATAACCTTGAAAATCATTGCACAAAGCATCGCAGCAGGAACACAGTTCAGAATTTTTCTCCAGGAGATGCTTCAAATCTCATCGCTTTTGTTACGTGGGAGGTCAAAGCACCTGGCACAGAGTAAGCAAAAAAGGGCTGTGGGAAGGGATGATGCTGCATCAGCGCCCAGTCATGTTCAAACCCTGACATCAGCCCTTGCAGCAGCTCTGACAAGCAATGCCCCATGGGAAAACACCACTGCCTATCAAAGCCTTGAAATTAATATCCTGATCAATGCCCAGGCACCTGTTGGCAGGGCTGGAGGGAGCCTGCTCCTTGCAGACCAGACTGGAGACACCGTATCAGCTGGCCAGTAAGTGCTCCTGGCCATGGAAAAGCTCTGTCTGAATTCATAGAGGTGCAAAGCGAGGTGCCTCTCAGCCAGCAGCTCAGCAGCCTTGTTGAGATCTGGCCAGCGATGCTGATGGTTCCCAACCATCACCTGCCTCCAGCTTGTTCCCTCCCATTGTACAGGGAAGCAGGTGGTTGGACACAAGTCTCTGCACTGTTCAAGCAGAGAGGTCTAACTCTGCAGCAGCATTTCCCCCAGTTTGTGTTTGTGAACCTGCCTCTGCTGTGATCCATGTGATTCCAGGGATCTGTGTGTATGTTTCTAATAGTCTGCTCAACATAAAGCACAGGAAATACAGGCTTTTGCCACATGGGGAAGAAACCACAGCAAAGATGACCAGGAAACATTCATAATTTTTAATTCACACCAGTAATAAAATTGCATTACATTTTTCATAAAATAAATGTTCCAGTTTATATACAGAAAACAGACTGTACAGAGCCCTCCCCAGACCCCAAAAACTCACAAACATACAGGCAATGCAGTGCTCAGCTAAGCAGGCACAACTGTACATCTAAAATTGTAACTGCTTTGTGTTGGGGGGGAAAAGTACTACAATGTATATAGTCCTCTCTGGACCAAGAATTAAAAAAATATTGCAGGCAAGCTGACAGGCGCCCTCGCGCTCATGCGGCCAAGCGCCCATCCCACAGTGCTTCCGCGAAGCAGGGTCTGTTATTGAACCTGGGACTCGAAGCTCCCGTTCAGCTGCCCTTCCTCATAGTCCATCTGACACAAGATCATGTTGTTCTTCAGGAAAAATTTGTCTCCCACACAGAACCTGGAAGATAAAAAGAATTAGTGGGTGTAAGTATGCTTGGGTCTCAAGGCGAATCTGGTGACCAGTCTGATTTCTAGCTCTGCCAGTGGCATCGGAGCCCAAGAAAGCCCATGTGCTTCTGCCCGCCTCCCTTTCCCCTTCCCCACCCCGGGGTTTTGCCGTCCCTTTCCCTGGCACAGCTGTGCTCGGCTCCAGGCCACTGTTGTATAAAGCAGCTCAGGGAGCAGATCCTGGTCCCTGCCGGGTCCCACCCCAGCAGCAGGAGGAGACCAGGAGCAGTTAAGGGATCTGTCCCTGCAGACAAGAGGTGTCAGCTCTACAACCGAGAAATCAAGCGGCCGATATTACACAGAGACTATTTGAAGTTTTTGCTGGTATCCATGTTTCTACAGTTCCCTCGGGTGAGGCAGTATTTACACTAATTTCCAGGCAAGGACTGGCTATTAAGTCCTTCCTCACCCCCTTGTGTACAGTGCTGAACAATAAATAGAAATTTCCCGGTGGCTGGACTCCTAACCTTTATCTTCATTGAGCGAAGGGCACAGCTCTCTATATACCATGTAAATTGTTCTGTTTGTCTTGAAGTTGACAGAGAAGCTTGTGATATTTAACAATTTTATTTGACCATTAAGGTCAAAAAAGTTCCACATATAAGATCTGAGAGGTGTGAACTGACAGCCAATAGCTTTTTTGCCCTGTCTGCTTGCTCAGGAATCAGAAGCTAATCTTTACTCCTTAAGACAACAAATAACGTTCTTTGCACCCAATTCAGGGGCTGTTTTTTGTCCATCACACTGGCAGGGCAATGACAGACCAGAACACACAGCTGTGCCTCCCTGCCCTGGGATCTGAGTCTGAAATCAGCCCCAGGTCCCTAAAGCAGAGAGGCACCCTGGGTCGGGGGCTGTGCCTCATGGCATCTCTGAACTAGGCTCTGAAGGAAGATCAGTGGAGATGACCCCATCCTCAGGAGACTTAGCAGACCTCAAGTGCCCATTTCCTCTGCTCCCAGGCAGAGCTTTGGCACTGTTTATTCCTTGACTAAAATACTTTCTTCATTTTAACTCAGGCAGCTTCAGGCAGAGCATCTCCATAAAACTGAGTATTTTCTGCTAAAAGAACAGGACTGATAATTTCAGAGCTCCTTTATAGGTCCAACACGGGCACAAGTTTTCTCCAACTGGACACCTGCAAATAAGCTGATTAATTTGCCAAGTTGGTACAGAGAGAACTGAGTGTTGGTTCTGCCTTTATAGGATTTCACTGGAGACCATCCATCCTCTTCCCTCTGTGGCATGTGCTTTAGTAGTTATGAAATTCAACCTTTTTAGTATATAAAAAAGCTAAAAATTATTCTCAATTTAAATTAACAGCTCCTATGCTAAAAACTGTACTGCATACACTCTCCCTAACACCACCTTCCCCACCAGCAGGTTTACTCACTATAAATAACAGACACAGCTGCTTGCTTTTTACTACTTATCCCTATCTTAAGTACCATATAAATCTCCAGGAAGAGAAATGTAAAAATTACTCTTACTACCAGCATCAACATCTGTCTCTTGCTAAACCTGGTTTGGGTCTAGAGGAGCCAAAAGAGGAGCTGGAGAACTAGGGAGCTGGAAGGTGGGGGTGTTGTGTACAAGCACATGGGAACTGAAATGCACTGCAGGGGTACCTTAATGACGTGAAGTTTTGGGAGAAGGGTTTGTTTCACTGGAAAGGCAACTATTTTTACCTACCAGTCCTGCAAACCCACCAGTAAACTGGGATCTTTTCAGCTGATGCATCACAACTGGAGACTGAGAATTTAACAGGGACCCTTCAGGCTCAGTTTCTTGTGTCCCAACCCACAGGTCTCTTCAGAGAGAGAGGTGGGACCACATCACCAGCCCCCATGCTCAGAGCAGGAATGTTGCTGAGCCTCTCTGGCTGATCAAGTTCCAGCCAGCAGCAGCGAGAAACAGGTGCTGAACCTACCCTGCCATTTCTACGGAGTGATTTTCTTCTGAGCAAAACCACACTTCAGGTAATGGCAACAGAAGCAGCTGGATTTCCTGCAACCCTTGTAATAGTGACCTATTAGCCAGTTACAGCAGTGACCAGCTTTTATTCAGCACTATGATAACCATTTGACTTTAGAAGAGTTTAAAGCACAGTAGGCTGAGTAGCAATGCAGGACTTGCTGCAAACCTGATGTTTTAGAGAATGAAACTAATGAAAACACTGCACACTTGGTAAAAATATTAGAGATTTTGCTCTGATAGGTTTAACACTCTATACAGTGTCCAGCTATAGAAGGGCAAGGAAGCTAGAAGAGAATTAAAGAAAGGTCTTCCTCATCAAATCTTTTCATAGCTGAAGAGCGAGAAGGGGTTTCGGTGGGGTTTCCAATTCAGAACTAGTATTGGCATCCACCTCTGCAATTTTGACTTTAGGGTTACTTAATCTCACTGTTCTCAGTTCAGCATCCAGTGTTGTCTGTTACAGGATCACTTCCACTCTGCCCTTTCAAGCCAAAATCTCTACAGAATAAGTCATAAAAGTTTGTAGCCCTCTGATCTCAGCCAAAAATAACAATCTACACATAGCTCTACACTGTCCACCCAGCCCATCTTTCAGAACAACTCAGCTCCTCTCAAACTGGGTAGCAAATCCCTTGTGCATCAAAGCGCAACTCTGCCAGATCGGGGGGATTATCTGTGCTCTCCTGCCGGGCAGTGTCAGCACGTGGAGGTTACAGGAAGGGCAGGCAGGGCAGCACTTCGCGCTGAGTGCAGGGACAGTGTTAGCAACTGCAGAGGGAAGGGAGGGAGGAAGGTTCTTTGGAGCCTTTGAAAAAAAGAGTGAAATTTTAAAGAAATTACTGAAAATGAAAACTAGGCATCACTAGGATTTTCCACAAGAGAAGAAGGGTAAAGTAGGGGTTTGATGACAGATAGTCATCCTACAGACTCCAAGGCCAACCCAGAACTCCTCCCTGTGCAGCCCATAGCCAAGACTTGCCTCTGCTTGAAGGGATATTTGAGATGCTCCAGCCTTAATATCTGCGTGGAGTTTGGGAGTACCCCTCTCCTGCCTGGCCTTCATCAGCAGGGTGAAGAGAACTGAACCTGAGGGCTGAGCCTGGCAGCACCTGAAGACAAACCCCAGAACTGACCAGTGATTTTAGCACCGTGGAAGGAGCATCTCGGGGAATAAGGGTATCACCTCTGTGCAGTCACACGCTGCTGGTCGGGGATCATGGCTGTGGCACAAAACAAGACTGGGCAACTGAAAGATATCGTGTGGCTTCTGGAGAGAGCCCAAGGCCAGGAGCCACTAGATGTCACTGCCGCCCCGGCACTGCCACCGCGCCGGTGGAGGCGACAGTATTAATGGGAGTTTTGTATCTCGAATAAACACCGCCTCCGCCTTCCGCCGGCGATCGAGTAAAGCCACCTGGGCTACACACAGCTCACCCGATTCACCTCTTCTGGGCTCTGGCACCAACCAGCTGCAACCCCATCCATCTCAAGGGCTAAGCCAGTGTCAGAGGGCACAGAATGAGAAGCAAACAGGGTCGCCTAAGGTTAGAGGGGAGGTGGCAGGTTTGCATCCACACATGTAACATGTATGGCTGCTTCATGAGACACCCCACTGTGACTTTTTTTCTAGAGTGAGCAACGAATTTTAAAGTCAGTCTTTTAGTTTGACTTTTATGGAACTGGGTTCTCCATCTTCTCGCACCTATCCCACACATATCTCTCACACCTCCCCACGGGGAAGCATTGCATCCTAGTTTCATCTTTGGGAAGCACAACCACAGATTCAGAACAGGAAGCCCAGCACAGGCCTTGGACGCTGGGCAGCCACTACAGCCTGACTAAACAAGCAGTAAGAACAGCAAGCAGTTTCATGTCTGTCTGAGACAAGGATGGATAAATGGGTGCATCAGAAGGTGACACTATATCACATCTGGTTCTGTGGGCTTCCATTCTGCCTACAATGACCAATAAACATGCTGCTAGGAAGATTTTTCACAGCCCTCCCAAATTCAACTGGCTACAGGTAGTCAAAGTGAAAGTGCTGTGCATGACCCTTCATTATATTCCTCAACGTGCATTTTCCACTGGGTAAAACCCAGCAGAAATACACAAGGCCTACTCAAAATTATGCCACCAAGATCCCCTGTTAATTACACAACAACTAAAGGGATTTGTTCCCAGTGTTGGAAACGGCTTAGCTAGAGTATTTTTCTCCTTCCTGTCCCTTCTCTTTATCCTTCTTCTTTGCCATCCCCTGTTTTGAGCCTGTCAGAAATGTGATTTAAGCAAGATAACATCAGTTTGCCAGAGGAGGTCCATTCTCCGTCGTCTGCATTCTGCAAAGAGGGTAGATCCTGAAAGGACGCTGAATCGGTTTGTTTTATTCAGCAGCAGCTGTGCCGCATACAGTCTGTGCCTGTGTGCCCCCCCTTGCCCCTTCAACTCCCACCAGCTCCAAGGGGATTTGCAGTAAAAGGGCTACAGGTACTTACATGCATGACCCAGGTCAGCCTAATAAACCAGCCCGAGCCACACCAGCAGGCTGTGAGCCCCAGACAGGTAGTGTGGATCAAATGTTTCCCCATTTTGTGGGCAAAGGTATAAATTAGTTTGTGTGTATAATAACTGTGTCCTCACCGCTGGTTGCAGAGCTGACAGGCAAAGCAGTCCAAATGGTAAACATTATCTCTGGCCCTCATCACCATCTCAAAGGCAGGGATCAGTTTACTGCAGGCAGCACAATTCCCGGTGGTACCAAAGAGCCTGCCAAAGAAGCACAATCATTAGAAGCCATTTTAATTAAATGGTGGAAGGACTAATTAAGTGTAATTAGCAGTATCAAATACTGTATTGCACCAATAAATAGAAGTTGCAGTCTCCATTTCACTGACCAACCAGCGTGCGGGAACTTGGGGTAAAACTGCCTGGTGAGCAGGCTCTGATCGTCGAGATGAAACTTCATTTGGTTTGTGAGCCTGGGGCTAATTTGCTGTCTAATGGAGAAAAGCATTAAACATTCGGAGCGCTATTTTGGGGCTCACAGAATTTCAGTCAAAAACTATCTGCCTCTCTGCAGCAGTGGGGAAGGTGCTTGGAGCCGCCCATCCTCCTCTGCGTGGGTTTGCTCTGCTTGGCCACAACCTGGCGGAGGGACAGGCTGGCACCTCTCGCAGCAAGACACACGAGTCCTGCAAACTTTGCCAATCCTGGCAGGCAACACTATAGTAGAGCTCAGGAAGAACCTCGCTTACCTGCTGTTTAAAAAGAAAAAACACAATTTCTCTTGCAACGAGTGCACAGTATTTTGCAAGGCATCTCGGAGAGCAAGCCCTCCCCCCTGGCTGTGCCCCCCTTCTCCCACATCCGCATCCCTCCCAGGAGCCAGCTAAGCCCTTCCACGGCGGCCTGAACAGCATGCTCAGCCGTTCCACTTCAGCTCCCCGGTCCTCGAGGACAGCCCTTCAGCACTGGAAGCTTTGCCATTTTCATCTTGGCTTTCACTATCTGTCTCCCCAGATGTCTGCTGCTGTTACAGCTCCTGCCGGGGGACTCAACCAAGACTGCAGCACCCTTTCCCCAGCCCCCTTTTCCAAGGTGCCCCTGCAGACCCCTGTGCACGCCGGGGGCACCACGCCACCGCGAGGCTAAAGCCGCAGGAACCAGCTGGGGGCACCGATCAACAGGCTGACAAAACCAATCTCACCCCAGACTGTGGTCAATATGCATGTGGGTTAGTTACTTTGCCTAGAAGATGATAAAAATCGTATTCTTGAGGCGATGGGCCTCAAGACATACGATTCCTGCTGACCATTAGCTCTGCGCATGCAACGCGTCGCTGCCCGCAGACAGATTTGGGCTCATGGTTTGTTTCAAGCCATTGGTTCTGGCTGATTCCACAACACGGAGATGAGAAGCATCAGGAAAATCTATAACCAATTTCTAAACCTGCAATTTGCCAAGCTAATCAATACTAATTATTACTGGCCAGTAATTGTGAATTAAAACACCCAGCAGTGTTATAGAAACCTCTACAACTCTCCCTCCCTCCCACAGTGCCGTGATTCCGGAGTCAGCTTGCTCTCCAGCTTAAAAAAGGTTACCCTTATTTTTCTTTAGAAGTGGTATCAGTGGTCTTTCATTTGGCCTGGCTGGAAAACCCCAAGCCTTCCTGTGAAGAAACAGCACTCCGTTTTCCCTGATAGTTAAACCATGCAAACCAAACTGGAACACTCGTGCAGGACAGAAAATCTGCAGAGGGAGTACCAAAATTGTTTCCCCTGTGATTCCATCATATGAAGGCAGGCAGGGGAGCCAGCTGAGCACGGGGCTTGGCTGCCTAATGCCAGCAGATCAGACTGAAAAAATGTGGCAGTGAAAAGCGTCCAGGTCTCCACCCTGAAACGCCCTGGCTCTCACTGAGCACCTGCTCGCAAATCAAGCCATTGTTACAGACATCCCTCCCTTTCTCAACGTACCTGCCCCTTTCCACAGTACCTAACTTGGGCACAGCAAAGCCTGACAGCTTTTGCCAGGATTTTCCTATTTCCCATAAAACCAGGCATCCGTTTTTAGAGTACCCAAGTCACAGCAAACTCAAAAAATGAGTCAAATGCATTAGGCAGGGAAATTGGGAGGTTAATCCTAGATTTGCTCTGTGCCCAGCACTACTACATGCGCAAGTATAAAATATCCATTATTCATTAGCATCACAGTTGTGTGGAGCTCAATCTAGATTAAACAAAATAAAGGGGCCCCAGACAGCACCATTTGCATTGTTAAGCAGGTGCTTTTCTTCAGCCTTCAAATAGGAGACTTTTCTAAATGGAAATGATGGGGAAATTTGGACAGATGTTCACTTAACTATTTAAACAGTTAGCTTAAGAAACATGAAAAATGTATTTGGCATCGTATTCACCTGTCTCCTTTCGGGGGTTTTGGGGGTAAACCAATTGTTAAACAGCTTTGACTGTTTGCATAAGATCTGAAGCTTATGTTCTGTCCAGCTGAAATCGTGTTGCCTTCTAATGTCTACATAAACGTAGCTTCCAGCTAGTCAGTGCGCTAATCTTCTTCTCTTCTATCAAGTTTCACAGTCCTTCATACCCTCCCTCTTCCAACAGATGAACATTTCACACTTATTCCAGCACTTCCTAATTTTAATCTGCTTTTCAGGGAGTGATTTAGAGCCCTGTATATTCACCATGCTTCTAAAAATACGCTGTAACTTGTAGCTCAGCGAACATTATTTTTTTTTAATCTGTTGGAAGAAAATACAAAATGAGCACAGACTTTTGCCTTTTTTGTTTGCTTGTAGAAAACTTGCCACCTCTGACATCTACTGATCCAGAAGCTACTTGAGCTGAAACTTTCTGAGGTGGGGAGCTCAACATTATCGGAGGAGGGAGAGAAGAAAAGGAGCAGGAGAAAGATCTTCCACCCCAAGCCCCATCTGTGGTTATATTTAAAATAACCCCACATAAACAAACTGATCTGCATTCTGTCCCCCAGATACCTTCATAACAGATGCAATACTCTCTCACACATTCACGCACACAAAGTTTAAGCGCGTTAGAAACATCTGTTGGAAGATGCTCAGCATCTACTTACCAGCTTGGAGCCATTGGCATAAAAGAAGCTGGAAATACAGAAAGCTTTCAGTTTGGAGTTGTTTTTCTTCTTCCAAACCCCCTATTTTTTCACTTCCCTTTGAAGTTAAAAGGCAACAATTTTCAAGTACAGATTTATTCCCCCTTATGTAACAGAAGACCCAGCCAGCTTGTAAATAAGCATAGACTATGCAGATTTAAAATTTAGCACAATTAAACTTTTACCCTGTGATAGTAATTATGTTTAATGGCTCTTAGCCTGAACTTCACCATGTCTATTGTTGTCAGCCAGCCTAAAAGCAGGAGTTTGTCCAAGGACAATTTTCTGTAGTTTATGGGCACACTAAAAACCCTGCTATGCTCTTTTCTCATTGGCCATTGATGTCAGTGTGTATAGTAAAAATTAAAGCTAATTGGCATACAGGAGCAGCTCTGAATGCAAATGAATTAATGGAAAAAGAAGGGAGAGCTCCTGGAAGCAGTAGGCAACTGTCAAAGGATGTTTTTTATGGAGTCTTGTCTGGGCTAAAGAGCAGTCCTCTGCAGGATGATGCAGACCTCAACAGCTCCGTGAATACACCTGAAGTTAATTCAAACTATAATAAAGTCACAGAACCCTGCAAATTTTTTTGGGGAAAAAGAGAATGGTAAAGGGTCTTTACTGTAGGAAAACAGTAAGAAACTTCTCATTAACACGTTAAGTTTAGCACCTTTTAACAGATTTTTCCTTCAACCAAAATGTGCAGGGGGTCTAAAGTGAGAACCTTCTTGCCTATTTCTGTCACCACTAGGAACAGCAATCTGGTTTAGTCACTGCCTACGAGGAGAGAGTCCCTGTTTCTTCTTTCCACTCTAGCCTGTGTCTGACTTTAGCTTGTAACCAAAAAAGAAGGAGAAAGTCTTCCCTCCACAGAAAGTGAAAATTTTAGAGCTGTTGACTTCACAGGAGACTAAAAAAGAGGAAGCAGGACAGACACATATAAATAATGAGTGGTACAGAAAGGATAGATTGGCACTGTCAATCGGATTTTTTTTAAACAACACAAGAACAAAATGAGTTCAAAATTAAACAGCTGAGTTGAGACTATCAAATCCCCTCAAAAAGGAGGGTTTTTTCATCACCAAAAGACAAGAATTATGAATTGAAAGAGGACCAAACACTTAATAATACAGATAAATATCTACATTTGTAGATATTGCATACAACTACATCTTTTTCTACATATTTATGTATCCAGATTATCCAGATATACAAGTTTTTGGAAAGCTACTGAACCCCATGCTCATATCCTCTCCAGCCAGTAGGTGAAAGAGGTTTTCCCATACACCTTCCCTATATATCTGCTGCTGTTTATTTCCTAGCTTCATCAGGGCCTGCTGTAGAACAAGATTTGCTTTATATACCTGAAACTCATCATCATGAAAAGGAAAGGTTTTGCCCCTACCATTTGAAACAAACCAACAACCAGTATTTCAGTGAAGATGGCTCTTGACAGCTTGCAATCAGTACTTTTCCCATCTGCGGATATTAGAAATCTGCTGAGCTACAAGTCTGATTTGACCAAAGTACTGAATATACCAATAATTGCAGGGAAAGCCTAAACATCACTTAAAAAGATAAAAAGAATAAGCTTAAAAGTAACTTCAGACAACTTCACTGTAATCAGCCTTTGCATAATATTAGAGAAAGCCTTAGTGATAGGAGATTCAGTACTGTGAATACATATTAGCTGGTGCACCCTCCTATCCAGGACACTGTTGTCAAGTGCCACAGTGGGAAGTCATGTCAGCTGAAGGAAAAGAAATGCATTTTGATACTAATGAAATTGGTCAAGCTGTCCCCTCATGAAGCCTTCAAGTTCAATCCCAAAGAATTTACATCTTGCATGCCAAAGGGTTTGGCATTCACAGACAGCATAGTGGGAGGAGCTGAACCAGCGCTGTACAAAACAGCCCTCTGGCCGAGTGACCGCACTCAGAGATTACTGGCTGTAAACTTCAAGGTTGCTCAAGGGTTTCTGTTTTCAGTTGAAGAACACATCTGAATGTTCACTTATTTTTACTCCTTTGGCCTTTCCCTCCATATTTTTCAAAGGATATTCACAGTGGGGCTGAGACTCAGCAGGTAGGAGGTGTCCAAGTCCTACTCCCCTGCAC